GTTCGTCCAATTTTAGAATACGGAGCGGCATGCTGGGACCCGTACAGAAAAGGGCAAATCGAAGCGTAAGATAAAATTCAAAAACGGGCCTCAAAGTTTGTAAATCAGGGGTGCGTTTGTGACGAACGAGAAAAATGGGAGTCCTTTTCTAAGAGAAGGGAACGGCGCATTTATGCGTAATGTATAAAACATACAGAGGGGACACAGCATGGGCAGATATCGGTAAAAGGTTACAGAAATCAGATTATAAAAGCAGAGGAGACCATCCTCGGAAAATACGATGTAGAAAGCAAAGAACTGATGTAGGCAAGTTCTTCTTTGTGAATCGCACTATAGTAGATTGGAACAAACTACCTGCAGAAGCACTAGAGGCTCTTCCTTCTAATGTAGCCAAATTTAAAAATATGCTTAAGTCCATCTATATTAGCTCAAATAATACTGACTGAGACATTTATCTTTATTATTATTACTTTTATTATTTTTATAGTAAGGAAAAATTTATCATCATTGTTAACACTGCTTGTTGTCATTAGCTTTAGGGAAATTTTTAAGTTGTTATTATTATTTCTTATATTGTTATTGTTATAATTATCATCATCATGTCCCTTATACAGTGAAGTGAAGTGAAGTGAAGTGAAGTAAAGTGAAGTGAAGTGAAGTGAAGTGAAGTGAAGTGAAGTGTAGTGTAGTGTAGTGTAGTGAAGTGTTATGTAAACTAGAACTGAATTTAGAGTTAGGTAGAAATCAATTGGAACTATGATATCGACCCCTAATTCTAATAGTAAACCTAATTGTAAATGTTAAAATTGTTTTGTAATTCTAATTCTAATTGTTATCATGTTTGCCATCGAACATTAGCTCAAAGCGAACTTTAATAAATCAATCTATCTATCTATCTACTGAAATCGATATTGGCACACACATTCAATATACAATGAATTACATCAATCTATTAGTTAAACGAAATATTAAATGATAAAAAATACTTGACTTAATATTTGCTTCTAATTCTTCACATGTAATTCAATCTGACTGTCCTATTGTTCCTTGTGATTACTATCATCCGGCACTGGAACTTATGATAAATATTAAAGAAAGCTACACTACACTCGATACATTAGTCACAAAATACCATTATAACCTCGCAGACTTTATGTCAATTAGTGAAGACTTATGCTCAATTGAATGGAGTAGCTATTTTGAAATTAACTCTATTCATCATGTGTTGATTATTTTATAACTTTATTTATGAGCTGTTCAAAAAACATGTACCCAAAATGTATATATCTCTTTATCAATACCCTCCTTGGTACTCTAAAGAACTGAAATAAATGTTAAAACGAAAAGTCTGAAGCTCACTCCAAATACAAATTTACAGATGATCCTTTAGATTACAGAACATTTTCTGAATTACGCAAAAATATAAATAAAAATCTCATCTTGATTATGATAATTATGTGATAAATATTGACAATTCTATTCCATCTAATATAAAGTCATTCTGGAAATTTACTAACAATAAAAGAGGAACAAATGGTATTACAAATTATATTTTCGAGGACAATGAAACAGCTGACACCACTCAAAAAATAGTGGATATTTTTGCTGATTACTTTGAATCCGTACATAGTAATTATAATGATGATAACCGATCTACTCATGTCAATTATGTTGTTCATGCTTCTGCCTTTGGTAACATTGAGATAACCCAAAATTATGTATATGAATCGATAAAGAAATTGGACGTTAAGAAAAGTGTTGGGACAGATTCAATACCAGAGAGATTATTAAAATCTTGTAATGTCCACTTAACATCAATTCTTCCTGTGCTTTTTGTAAAATCACTGAAAGAAGGTACCCTTCCTCCAATTTGGAAAAAAAGATATTTAACTCCAATATATAAATCTCAGAACCGATCATATTTAAAAAATTACAGACTTATATTCATAATGAGTGTTATTCCTGAAATTCTTGAGTCCATTATAACTAAAAAAAAAAACACTGAAAAATTAAACAATCTTATAGAGGAACAATATGGCTTCAGACAAAATAAATCTACCACCTCTAATTTATTAATCTTAAAATACTTCGTTATTGATAAAATTGATAAAAATTCTCAAGTAGATGTTATGTATATATGGATTTTACTACAGCTTTCGACACTGTACACCATGAATTACTTATACAAAAGTTGTCATATCTGGGCATTCATGGTAGTCTTTTACAATGGTTGAAAAACTATTTGTCTGATAGAATATTGAATGTTAAATATTTATCATTCTTATACCGCGACATAATTGTACCATCAGGAGTACCCCAAGGTTCTCACTTGGGACCCCTTTTATTTTAATTATTTATTAATGATGTGCAATTATTTCTTTCAAATTGCATTTTTAATTATTTGCTGACGACTTAAAAATCTATAGAGAAATTAATTCTGTTATGATTGCAAACAACAGGAGTGCTTGAATAGTCTTATAAATTGGAGTAAATCAAATCAATTAAACTTTAATATAAATAAGTGCAAAGTGATGAAATTCACAAAACGCGGAAATATAGTTGACCATGTGTATTCTATTGATGGAGTAATACTAGAGTCTGTCAATGAAATAAAAGATCTTGGAATTATTTTTGATCCAAAAATAAGTATTGATAGACATATAAATAATATTGTAGATGAAGCTAATCGTATGTTAGGATTTATTATGAGAACTGCAACTGACTTTAGAAACCCTTCTACAATTAGAACTTTGTATTTAACATTAGTGCGACCAATACTTATGTACTCTACACAAAACTGGTCTCCTTGTTATGGTGTATACAAAAAGAGAATTGAATCAGTACAACATCTTTTTTTTTAATTTAGCAGCTTGGTTTCTTAAATTACCATCACCAATATTAAACCACGATTACAGCAAAATTTCATTATATCTTCAAATTAATTCTCTTGAATACCATAGAAAATGTAATATCTTATTTCTATTCAAATTATAAAACCATGATATTGATAGTAGGATCTTTTGGGAATTACTCGTGGTGTCTCTCTCCCACAATAAATCTTTAATGACTTCATTAACAACAACAACAACAACAACAACAACAACAACAATAATAATAATAATAATAATAATAATAATAATAATAATAATAATAATAATAATAGAGTCACATTCGAAAACATACTCCATATTTACGACACAAATTAATCTAACAAGAACAAAAATTGAAAGTATTACTACACTAAAACAAAAATCAATACAACTGTCCCACGCCTATTGCAATACAGATATCACAAAATGCTTTTTTACTAATGATACTTATAATTACACTAATTTGAAGCCAAAATATATTTAAATTTTACTTCCCAATACCGAGAATTCTAACCTTCAATTGTGTTAACCCTAGTTTTATTTACAATATTATCTTAAAAAAACACATTTGCTCAACAAATATTACGCGTAATCCTACTTCTTAGCGAATACTTCCATACCGAATCTAAGTCCAACTACAGGTATTTATTTAAAAAACACGGAAAACTGGAATAGCTAGACGACCAAGACGAGAAGTAACTCCTGATCTGGCCGTGATCCACCGCTCGGCGACGGATCAATTGCGAGTCAAATTTGATCCGAGTCAAACATGTTGATTCGTATCAAGTGCGTGGAGAAACGTACAACGGGATCAAACTGAAGTTGATCCGAATCAACTCGGGATCATCATCTTGATTCCTGTTGGTGAAACCGGCCCTAAACGTTTAACACCACCAATGCCAAATTACACTGGGTACACAAAAACTGACATGGACGCCTAAAGCAACTTTCTTAGGCGCCACATTTGATCGAAAGACATACATGTCACGCGAATTCGATCAAAATTACAGCAAAGAGTTCGACTCTTACAACCTCTTTTGAGGGAACCTACACTCCCCTTGGAACTTCGCTTGACACTCCATAAAATGTGTTGCTGGCCTGTGGCCACCTACGCTGTGTGGTGAACCACACCACACAGTGCGGCAATGTGGTGAACCACACAACAGAAGTACACTTGAGCTAGTACAGAACAAAGTTATATGGCTCATAGCACGCCCTCCGTTTAGAAAATAGTTGAAAGTACTGGGGAAGGAACTTAATATCGAGTCCTTCACTCAATGCTTGAGACGGCTTTCGTTAAACGAAGCCTATGAAGCCTTTCGAACCAAGGAAGCTCCGGCAACGCCCCAATTAGCTCGACGTCTCACTATAGGACAAAGATGACCAGCACTCCCCTCCAATCTACATCAGTCACACATAGCAGTAAAACGCGAAATTCGTGCGAACTGCAACACAACTACACAAACCTTCGGCTAAGCAAACACACACACCCTGCCTTTGCAAAAATAATATTGCAAAAATTTGCAAAAATAATAATAATAATAAAATTTTAAAAAAATAATATGTTTTTAAAAGGAGGGAAAAAATCATGAACGCCAAAAGCTAGCTATGGTCATTTCAATAATATTCAATACATTTGTTACAAGGTAAAGTATGGAAACCCACGCGCACGCACTCACGTGCGCAGGAAACAATTGTAATCGTATATCAAACTAACGAGGCCTCTTCTAGCATTCAGACAATCAAGTTCTCACCTTGAGACGTGCAGTGCGCTCATGGATCACTCCCATTTCTCGCTTTATATTAGTCAATTTTCCATGACAGGCCTTTACCGTTGCCATCTGAAAGCATCAAAGCAATTATAAAAAACTTGTGAACTTCTGAAACGTTAGTTAACGTATTAAATGTATCACGAATATAATTAGAAATAAAAATGTTTGTTAATAATATATATTTTTTCAGTGCTTAAAAAAGTAAACAATGTAAATTACATTAAAGCTTGCAGTGAAAAAAGAGTTTGCAAAAATTTTGTATGCTAATTAATTCGGTTGAATTACAAACTGATTTAAATGCCTTAAGAGTCAAATTACTATTATTATAAATTGATTTACTAGTCTTATTACAGCGAGAGTAGAAACACTACAGCAGAATGATAAAGTCAATATATTCCACAAAAACATAACTATTGTAAGATTAATATAGTGTAGTCGCGGTAATCCGAGATTCCATGCAATCCCGAGATGGGGAAAAAAGCATAATCTGTGCCATCTCTATCAGGAACTGTACGCCAAAAATCGAACAAGTCGTCCTTTCTGAAACGATGCATGTCTAAAGGAAAAGCCATTTTTTGTCAAGAGTTGCACTTTGTTGCAGCTGGAACTTGTTGAAACATGATTAATAATAACCTACTAATAGAATAAGCCGTGCCCCAAGCCCGTAAATCCCCGTCAATCTTTTAAAAGCCAATTCAAATTTTGAAGTAACTGTCAATAGAACTAAAATTCACAGCAATGAATACAGGGGTAATTTTTTTAGGAATTGTTAATTGAATTGTGCATTAAAACTAATTGCTATGAAAAATACATTCATGGAGGATAACAAAATGACAATTTAAAAGAAAAAAATCAAAAGAAAATAAACATACAACGAAAGAACACAAACTTCACCTTGGCTTGACGGCTCGCACTTCGGCGAGGACACCGAGCGGAGAAGTACCAACTTCACAAGCATGCCTCGCGACAGGGGTCAACAATCTACAAAGTGGGTGCCAAACAGGTAACTTTGAAGTGTTTACTTCACATTATGGTGCCTAGAAAGTTAATTTACTAAAGTTGAAAAAATTCATTTTGGCCACAGAATCGGGTCCCAGAAACCATAGTGCAACCTCTTAAAGGGACTAAATGGCACCAAAATAAGCAAAATTTACTTTACCAATAACGTCTAAACCAATCGTCCGATTCTCGATCTGTATAAGTCATTTGACTCCTTTTAAAAATAGAATTTACTCTACGTAGCCCTTTTACCAAAAACGATTTCCCCAAAAAAGTTTTCAAATTGCTCTCATAGTTCCGGGATGAAATTAAAAAATGTGCGCTCATAGCGCGATGACGACGGGTTCCCAGAATCCAAAGCCGTGTCAATCATGCAATGTCGACAAACTTAATACATATTTACTACTTGAAGTACATGTACTCAAATATATTAATGTGAACAAATCACCGCTAATGTCTCTCTTGTTAATATTTACAAGTCAAAAAAATTAAGGTTTTTGAAATTTTTGAAAACACAAAATAAAGCAATATGGCCTTTATGCCATCTCTTAGTGTACATTTAGCAATATCCCTATCAAACGTTTAAAGCAACAAAAATAAGGAAAAAAAATTGGAGCTGCTTATGAGAAAATCTTGTTTTTGTTATTTTTTGAAATTGCACATGTTGCAAGCAATATTGTGCGCTTCTAAAATGTTCAATAAAAAAAAAAAATCGACATGTCTTTAAATCAAGAACTTAGTATGAAGAACAAATTTCATTTTAATGAAATATCTTTTTCTTCGATATTATGTAGTAGGAAATCCTAATTTATCGTAGGAAATCCTGATTTATAGTAGATCACACGTTATCAGTATGCAGCTGCCAATAGGGAACTGTTGTGACGTAGTCAACCTCTGTTCGAGGATGATACACAAAGTTACGTTGCTTGACGAATCTCCAAAGCTATCCCCAAAAGAGTCAATGTACTCGTACAGTAACAAAGGGTCAAATATTTGACGTTTAAATGAAAATGATAAAGACCGATTTGATGAAAGTTGGCGACATCGGTGGTACAACTGGGACTCATCGCAGACTGATAGCAGTGTGCCAATCTTTGAATGTTAGTGTCACTACCTCACAAATCGTGGGCTGAGAATCACGGGTATTCGTATTTCCTGGCGCGCAACCCCGTCAAGATCTCCGTATGTTCATTTTCTTCATGCTCCCTGCAAATTCAGACACTGTCACTCCTTATCTCAGTTAATAAGCAAACATAGCTCCTATTGCTGTCTTCTACGAAAAAAGGTAAAATTTCCTTTTAGTATCGTTGAGGATGATACCATTTTAACGTTAACATAACGTTTTAGTAAGAAAAAAAGCAAACTGCCGCCGCCGTCATCCAAGAAGAGGCGCGACACTAACAGAAACCCAGCGATTGAGTTCCCGGTGAGACGTTTGTTCCGCGAATATCCCGTCCGTGCACCAGCTACCCCATGTGTACCCATTTGCTACATGATGCAACGTACTCTATCTTGAACTTAAACAAGAAAGTGTTTTAAGTCGTATGACCCGCGAGTAGAGGACGTCTCAATCCTAAAGCATACATGTGGAATTTTTCATTCATACTTGCCATTATCATGAACCGAGTTGAATCATGCACTTAACTGAATATGATGACATTTATGAACCTGATTACATAGATTATTATTATTATTATTATTATTATTATTATTATTATTATTTACTGTTTTGATTAGTTTTTTCCAATTCTGAAAAAACAACAACAGATGATATCAAAATGATTTCACTTACATCCTATTTTGCAAGATGTATTTAATAAACAATTAAATCCTTGTGTACATTCAAACAGGGTCTTGGAGTTTATTGGAGGAATACTAATGTGAAAATATATTGTAATTATAAATTTGGGGATTTTCTATTTTTCCGAATGGATGGAAAGGGGCAAAAATTATTATTTAAAAAGTTAAGTAGTTTGGAATTCATAAGTATGGAAACATTACAGACCAGGTAAAATTACATAATGTCCTCATTAGATTTTGCCAATTTTCAAAATGAACCAGGCAAGACCAAAATTATTTCAGACACACATCGTATTTGCCAAGATGTACTAATAATACAATTAAATCCTTGTATTGATTCGATTAGTATCTTGGAGTTTATTAAGAGAGGAGTGTAAAAGTACAGAGTGATTTTAATTTGTTAATTTGAGCATTTTCGATCCTTTGGAAAGAATCGAAAGGAGCTCAAAATTATTTTCGGACATTTTCGTAAACTTCTACATGTTTTTAATAATATATGGGATTGCTTGAAGAAAAAGTCAAGTACTAGTTGGATTTCATAATTATAAATATTAAAGATCGCAGAAAATTTGTCAGGGGTATACAATAATTGTAACATTGTTTAGGTAAGATTTTGCCCTCACTTCTAAAGGATGGAATTGAGCCCAGAATATTTCTTTGGCAGCAGGACGGGTAAGCGGATGGACAGATGGAAGGAGGTTCTATCGCCGATCGATTTTACAAATCCAAAACCAGATTACAAGACTAATCAATATGTTAAAAGTAGTAATTTCCAATAGAGTAGTCGCAATAATCCGAGATGGCCTGATGTGTGCCAAGTCACCAAACAAGCGGTGATAATCAAGATGGCAACATTGCGTAAAAGGTCACGTGTGCAGTGGTCGATACCAGTGTCAGCCAGTCAGCCACATTGTTGTGACCGGTTTGCGCTTATTTAATTTGATAGTATCTGCACGTTAAAGGGTATCCCCAGATATAAGGGTAAAATGTTCCCTTAAACTAAATGACATATGAGTAGTTACTCAATAACTCTAACATAAAAATATTTTTGAAAGGATTCTTAGCTCCCATTCCACCACCCACACCCCTCTACAGCCAAAAACGTCTTTGTTTGTTTTTTTCTTCGTAAAATTAATGCTTGATTGCAAAATAATTCGTAAAATTAATGCTTGATTGCAAAATAATTCGTAAAATTAATGCTTGATTATGATTGCAAAATAAGAAAACAATTTATACTATCAGGAATATATTTTTCGAGATTTTCTCAGCACCAAATTTAAACACAAAAAAATATTTGTGAAAAATAACACCAAAAAGTAATTTTACTGTGTCTTGGAACCCTGGAACAGGCTCACACAGTGCCCCTAAGTGTACTGCATGTTTTTTTTTCCTCGGGAGGTAATGTCCACCTGCTGGATGGCAAGATCCGGCGCTGACTTACTGGTGGCTAGTGAAGTTTCCCACAACCAGATATCTCCCACCAGCGGAGCACCGCCCCAGCAGGGACAAGCTCTAAGCTCCCAACCTGTTTCCTGGCATGTATGGTAGTGCAGTGCTTGTTAGTGTAAGTGTGTGTACGAGGTGAGGATAAGACAAGGAAAGGAAGGAAAGATTGTGCACAGTCCATGGCCTATTTGTTAGGGTTCAGTTCCGGCATTTGCCTGGTGTTGATCGAAGAAATCATGGAAAACTACTGATTAGAGCAGCTGGCATCTAGAGTTTCTCCTCCAAACAGTGACTGAATTCGACCTAGCTAACATATTATTGAAAATCTTACCACTGTTGGGACTTGAACCTAGGACCTCCCGGTCAGAGGCTCTGCAGTGACATCAATTGATGCACTAAGCCACCTTTCTCAGTCTATTAATGCCAGGGATAAAAGTAAGATCCAAAGAACAGAAATGGAATATTGGAGGTGTGTTGTCAGTTAACAAGAAAAGAAATAATTAAAAATCGTAGAAATAATAAAACCTGGAAAACCAAAAAAAACAAATGAAGAATCAAATTTTAAAAAAACAAAACCTTAGAACCAATAGAAACAAAGGTTATAGTATGGGCATTTAAGAAGGTTGGTCAGCGAACAACAAAGAAAAGAGAAGGGAAACTGTCAAAGAAAAAGGAGCGAGAAACTTAGAAGATAACGCCTGTGAAGATCGAAGAAAATGGAGATGAGGCAGCGAGACAACAACAGTTGTAGAATACTTACTTTACTACTTCTAGTACAGTTACAATAGGTTTGCAAACTCTTGGGAATTACACCAGGAAAACATACAAGACAAACAATGCATAAATAGGTATTTCAAAAACAAGGTGTCTAGTGCTTTCATACTGTGATGAGGGTCTCGTTAAATCCATTAAAAACTCTTCAATTAGTAGCCATTAGCTTTTTGTACAACTAAGTGAAATAGTTCCAGTGGATTTATAATATTACAATAATTAACTTAATTAAAAAAGGTAAATGTGTTGAATAAATTTGCTTACAACATCATGAAGTTCTGTTGTTTCCATAACTTCTTGAAAATTTTTATTCTCTGCTTCTAAATGCTCTAATAAAGCCTCCTGCTTCTTCCTGCAAATATTAAAATATTAATGAACTGGAATCAGCAAAAACAAAATATGAGAAAAGCTGACTAATTTTATTTAGGACTTACGTAAACTCCAGAAGTTGTTTCTTTACACGTTCCAATTCTGGTTTGTATAAAGCTAGGAGACCTGTGGAAAGCTTCTCTACTCCCTGGGTATTAATCAGAGCTTTTTCACCACTGAGCATTGACGTACACACAAATGCATTAGAAAGCAAGTAATTAAATATAAAATGTCTTTTGTTACTGCATACATTACTCACCTTCCCTGAGCCTCTACATTGCTAGCTTCTTCCATTTTTCTTGCAAATTTAAATGCAACTGTTAACACAATGATATTGTAGGTGAGGAGTTTACATACATTTAAACTCTTATTACAAAATTCTTCACAATTTAAATTTACAAGTAAATTTCATTTTCACTCTCAATTAGTAGAGAACATTTGATGCGTTTCATCCGAACTTGAAAATTTCGCACCTTGTCAATTAGCTCAATGGTACTCTTTTTTATGTGATACAATATAAATTAATTGCGATTTTTCACCGTCAACTTTTCTTCGGCAACTGACGGATTTCACTGATACTTGCAAACACTGATCAAAGTCCCCATACACTGACGTCTAGCAACAGCTGACAGCCAGCTGACAGCATTATTGCCAGACCTCGCGTCTTAATATAATTTCTTTGTTTTGTTTGTTTTTTTCAATTTTCACTGCGTCTGCCCAACTCTTACGAGTCAGTAACATACCCTGAACGTGACTCAAATAACATGTGGTCATCTGTCAAATCCGGCAGCAGTCCCTGAGCAGCCGGCAGTTACTGGCTAGTGGCTCTACAGCAAATGCACGCAGTAAATCTCACACCAGCCAATTATCCGCATTGCATTGAATGTTTATAGATTATTCAAATTGTGCGCACTCCTTGAATTGATATGATGCTCCATGAAGACTCTTTGACAAAACTGTTCCGATTTTCATTTGATAATAAAACACAGTCGACCAATCGTAAGAAAACATGTATGTTGGCACTGGTTGGCACTTAAAAGTTCCACACCGCGGCCGCGCACGACAGCTTCGTACTTGAAAGATGGCTGCCGAAGTGAGGTGGCTATGTTTTGTGGCATTAATCGCGTTTGACATATGCTTGGTTTTGGCGAGTGCACCGTTTAAAAGATTTGAGTATAAGTACAGCTTCAAGCCGCCATACCTCGCACAAAAAGATGGCACTGTTCCGTTTTGGGAGTACGGTGGAAGTAAGTGGGCATGTGGTATAGGTCACTTTCATGGCATGTGTACACGCAGTCCCTTGAACCAGATGGAATGCTAAATTCTTGACTTATTATTAAAAGAACTACGCATTCTAGCTGGATACATGTGGAATGTAGCAATCCAATACAAAGGGTCTCGAGACAATTAGAACCTCGAAACTCACTTTGACGTTTGTGCCGGAATTGGCGACATTATTTTACTAACATCACGGCTTTATTTCCAGATGCTATTGCTAGTGCTGAAAATGTGAGAATAGCGCCTTCTCTTCGCAGCCAGAAAGGTGAGAGATGTTAAGATCTTGTTTTAATGAAAGTAGAACAGAGAAGTTTACATTAATCACAAGTAATTGTGTAAAATAACAAACTTGATTTCAAGGAAAGTTTACGCTTGGTTATTTCAAAATCTTCTATATATTATGATGAAATCCTGCAAACGGTGTATTCTTTCATGTATCTTTCATGTTTCATTCATCTCTTATTGAACTGCTGGAGGACAATGTGTGAGAACTTGTTAATTAATTTTGTTATTCAAAATTAGGGAAACTTTTATATGAAATTAAAAGTATATCTTGAAATAAGGATATTTAATTTGTCACTCTTTATCCTAAAAATAATGTATGGAGTTTGTGATTGATGAATGGAATGTTTTCTTGTGGCTGCTGACATGTCCTTTTGTAATCAAGTCACATGTATAGTGAAGTATGACAAGTCGATTTAAAGTTTATACAGCAATAACAATTTATGATGGGAATGTTAAGTCTTTGTACTAATGTTATAATTGGCACTAAAGTTATCGATATTTAAAAAATATCACGTCATTAATCTTCGTAGCAAAAGACAGTCGATTTCAGAAGATCATGTGGACGTTAACACCAAAATACCAATAGTGAAGCAACAAAACGCAACTGGCTGGAATAAAATTATGATTAACAAATCTAGAACAAGTAGCAAATCCATGCAGCATGCAAGATAGTAACAAAATACAGGGGACAAAATGAATCTCGTTTAGAATTCTATATATCAAATCTCATATTTGATTGTATGCAGGAGGGTATTAAGACATTAGTAAGACTCATTTTGCATTAAAAAGCATCAGGAACAGAGTACTGTATTAGTGTACTGTGTTATGATGCTAAGAGAAGCAGCAAAGTATTTCGGAAAATAACTATAAATATTAATAAGGAAAACTGGCAGAGTATGTTAACTAATGATACGAGAATGCGAACAATTAGTTACTCTTCCCTTGCTCCCCTCAGTCCTCTGTTTTGCCAAACCTTAAAAGTGCTTGCAGGAGGATACAAAGAATCTAAAATATCCCCCAACCTCTTAGATCCACTTTTAAAGGAATGTTTAAAATATCAATTGAATCTTCATTAATAGTTTGTGGATGTAAATTATATTAAGTTGATAAATGGCCAGCCCGTACTATTATTTAAAAATTTATAATGCATTTTTTAAGTTGATTAAAATTAATTTGTTAATTTTCATGTGATCTTAAAAAGACACGTCACATGTAATTGTGATTATATGGTTTTTAGAAATTTCTTAATATTTATAATAGTATTTAGTTATTATTTAAGCAATATTACTGAAATAATATAAAAATATTTTTATGTTAAAATTATAGTGTATATTAGAGAGAGGATTTATATTTTTCATAAGATGTTTATAGCTTAAACATTGTGAAGTCAAATATAAATCAAATTAATTAAAGTTAGTCCACATCTTATCTTGTTTTGTGTGGTTATGAATTTCACTACTTTAAATTTCAGAAGTTCAATAAGTGTCAGAAACTGCTTCTGTGCACTCTTTGAGTTAACTAATTCATGCAGTTTATTTATTATAATGATTATTAACTGTAAGAAAGGCACAATTTGAAACAATTTTAATGAAAAGTAAAGAATACAATGGTGATTGAAACTAGTGATTTCAAATAATGGATTAAATCACCTTGCTAGAAAATGTTTTAAATGAATTTGAATATCGTTAGGACAAATTGATGTTTTGGTTTTGGAAACCAAAAATTCAGGAAATTTGTTTTCCAAATTTTGTCATGTTGTGAAATATATTGAACAATGTAATTCTTTCAATTATACTGTTGTTATTGAAAAGGAACTGATCTACAGAAATATTAGATGAGCCATTTATTAATTTAATTTTCTAACCAATTCGTAATTGCTACTAGAATCTTTTCTTCCCATCACTCTGCAATTTCATGTAACACAACACCCTAATAAAAGTTAAAGGTTTAAAAAATTTTCATAAAATAATAATTTATTTGCCTGTATTTTGCTACAGGAAAGGAAATAACAATCTCTCAAACAGTATTCTGCAGAATGTACTGAATAAGTTTCTATGTAAAAAGTCCATTTTTTAAATGTGGAATTTATATAGCGATATGCCATAACCTAGTTTTCTTTTTCTTTGAATCATCTCATTGATGTTTATTTGTTTGTTAGAGGATTCGTGTATTAAAATTTTTTCTCCACATGTTTTATTATGTGATTTTTCTCTGGCTCTGTCTATTAATAGAGTTCAATGTGTAGTTGAAGTTCAGTACTGTTTTCTGATGGAAAGTAGGTGTACATGGGATTGACTAAGGGTTACCAAGATTGTATGAAGTAACTAATGAGTGCTAACTTCCTGTCTGAGTAGGTTGATTGGTGGTGTCTGTGGAAACAATTGACTTTGTATTCTACTGATGGGAGTATTTTTGTACAATGCTTGTGATGTGTGCACGTATGTGGAATGCCTGTTTGTAAGGTTTAATAATGAAATTTTTAACTCACATTTGTGAATATAATTTAACATGTTGAAAACAACTTTTTGAGTTTGTTTTTAAGTTGTAGTGTAGCAATACAACTCTATTTTAAGTTCAGTAAAGGAATGCTAACTTAGTTGTCAATTTTTTCAAGTTTTTGACTGTCACAATTCTTCTTGTGTTTATCATATTTACGAAGTTTCTCAAACCTGAATTAATCCTGAATAATATAGGTGAAGTGAACATTTGAGTAGCATAGTTTTAAACTTTATTTTAAATCTAGTTGTTAAGTAATTAAATTATTAAAATGTGTACCCCTTTTTTTATTTTTGTGGTTTTAAAGGTGCAATATGGACGAAGGCTAAAACTAACTTTGATTGGTGGGAAGTTGATGTTTTGTTCCGTGTTACTGGACGTGGTCGCATTGGAGCAGATGGCTTGGTATGTTAAGAATTGTAATTTCTGATTTGAGATATATTTGAATTTGTTTACTTTTTGTTAAATTGTACTAATTTTGTTTTGCACAGGCCTTTTGGTACACCGAGACAAAAGGTGCTTATGATGGACCAGTTTTTGGTAGTTCTGACAAATGGGTTGGTTTGGGAATATTCTTTGATTCCTTTGATAATGACAACAAGCATAATAACCCCTACATAATGGCTATAGTGAATGACGGCACAAAGGAGTTTGATCACCAAAAGTAAGACTATTGTCACTTGTAAAAATCATTTGATTTAATGAATTATTGATCAAATGTATGTGATTAATTGAATTAAAATGTGATTTGTATACGTTTTTGAGAAGCTTCAGTCTGCTAAATGTTGAAATTGTTGCAGTGATGGCACTACTCAGTTACTTGCAGGCTGTTTACGAGACTTCCGCAATAAACCTTTCCCAACTCGAGCTCGAATTGAATATTACATGAACACACTCACTGTAAGTACATTTAAAAATAATAACACATGAACATTGTAGGAAGCTCTGATAGATTGATATACACAAGAATATCATTTTAACATGCCCACATTTAATGGAAAAATGATTTTGATTTGCCAGTCTCATGGCATAGCAAGTGGATTCATTCGTAGTGCATGTTAACCCACTGAACTAGCAAGTCTCAATCCAGGAACAAGGCATTTTTGGCTCAGGATTTTTCATGTGACATAAAAATGTTATAAGTAGGGCTGTGATTTATTTGCAAGAAAACAGTGAAATATGCACATATATATGTAAATATATTCGGTAATATATGCTATTAAAAATGTAAAATATGCGAAATAGTGCAATGTCTAAGTGTAAAAATAAATAAAAAGTGTAATGTGGAAAAAAAGGTTTGCAGCAAAAAAGATTCAGAAATCATATAAATTGTTACAAGCGACAAACATTAAGTCAAGAGTATAATTTTGAAGAGCTCTTTCAGTAGAAAAATAATGAAAGATGCAGTTAATGTATATTTCACAAAATAAAAAAAATGACTTCCTCTCAATTCATGATGAATTCACAGGTGCCTCTTTTAACACCACTCCATGTTTGCACCGTGTGTGGGTACATGTAGACACACTGTGGATGCACATTTCATTTCAATTGATACTGCCAATGACTGGTTTTAACATGCTTCTTCAGCGACTTTGTATGAGTCAGGCGAGCTGCAACACTGATTTGTGGCTATGACAATGTAAACAAATCCTTGGAAGCCCTTTGCTTCGGAGCCGGTCATGTGATGTGCCATAGCAAATTGCAAGAAAACTGTCAGAGCAGCTTACACGCTGAGGGAACTAACTTTTGGGATTCTTTCAGCAAATGAGGGGTGAATTGGCAACAAAAATGTGCAATTATGGTGATATATACAAAATAAAAATTGCTTAAATTGATTTGAAATCTTTCAAAACGAATACAGTTTGTTAAAATGGAATATTTTAGTTAACAGAAAAAATGTGCAAATGCATATAAATTACAGCCCTAGTTATGGGAATAAAGTCAGTACGATTTGGATGAAATTTATTTCAGGATTTATATATATATGTGTATGTATAAAGGCCTCATTTGTATATTTCATCCTTTTAAATGAAACTTATTTTTTAAAAAACATAATTTCACGAAAAACATATTATAGGAACTGAGCCTGCAAAGGCCCAGTTGCTGCATCAGAGAATTAAGAAATGAAGACTCGCAAAAAATAAATGTGGATTTTACTGAATTAGTTTAAGATTCAATTTACAATCATTGTTTGTAAGTGAGATTCAAAAACAATGTTTTTGTGTACCGTACCTAAGGAATATTGTCTTTGTACTGTGGGAAGATTTGTGTGCATTCTTTTAAATGTGTTAATTCTTCAACATTTTTCATAAAAGTTCAATTAAGCATTTGCAATTATTAAAATATCAGATATTTTGTAAAAACACTTACTTGTTTGTGTACAACCACTATTTAGTGGAAATACCTATTTAACATGAAAAATCTCAGTCATTTGTTAAGTAGAGATTCAATTGTAAAATAATTTTCTTTCTAATAAAACATCCCATGTTTAGTCCCCAATTTTAATACAGCGTAACATTATTGTATATACAGAAGATCTTTCTATGCCTAGAAATTTTTAGATATTGTTTTTTCTTATGCATATCTACCTAAAATTTAACTATGGAATTGTAAGAAACAAAATTGGCTGAAGTCTAGAATACAGTAGAACTTATGGAAGTTGTTTAAACTGGCACTTCGCACCGCTCCGGTGGCAACTGCACAGTTTGAATTCTCAAGGCTTTCTTGAAAAGTTCTTTCTTATAAAAGTGAATTGGTAATTATGGGGTGGATAGACTCAAGGATATTTATAGTAAATGTGAGAGCTGAATGTCCGAGCCTCACCGTGATTTGGATCCGGGCGAGCGAAGCGAGAAAACTTGCCTTTGAAAGTAAATTGGCATTACAATGTGGCGAGGCTAAGCGTATGAAGGATGAGACCTGAAAATTGCCTATCCGAAAGTTTTATTCATTTCTATAGAGCGTGTAGCGTATTTTGGAGGGCTTAAGGGACACTGCCCTGCAGTCATGCTTCTCTAAGGGTGTACCATCTACCCTACTTTAACCACAACATTTTTCAAATGTATGGTGTATTTTTTTATTGTAGGTCCTGTTTCATAGTGGCATGACAAATAATGAGCAAGATATGGAAGTGTGCTTACGGGTAGATAATGTGGTTTTACCAAAGACGGGACACTTTGGTCTGTCAGCTGCTACAGGAGGTTTAGCAGGTAAGGGTCTAAACTAACAGAAAATGTTTGTTACCGGTTAGTGCTTGTCAATTGCTTCCTTGGAATAGAGAACGAGTTTACACTAAAAAATTTGAATTGAATAAACCATTTAGCTTTTTTAATGATTTAAGTGGTGAAACTTTATTAGTATTAACCTTGCTATGTCTTTTCAATTTTTTATTCAGTCAACAGAATTAAAAGCCCAATACATTATAATAAATACATTTAATCATTCATTCACAATCTCTCTGTATTAATAAACTACAATGCACTTGTTATAAAACAATACCGTAACAAAGGTTAATATGAAAATTACAATAGGATGTTTTAGTGAGTAGAGTATCATTAATAATTATATTCTTATAAATGATAATTCACGGTTGTAGCAAAACAATGCAAATGTTTGCTCGGATCATCAGCAGACATATACATGTTAACCAATCTAACTAGTTGAGGTATTGCAGAGGAGTAGATAAAATAGGATCTTAGAAATTTATCTGGATAGAATATCTGGAATTATCCAATGTGCTTGTTTTATATGCTGCATATGAGAAGAAAATATGCTGAATATGTTTAGTTCCATAGTGGAACTAGTGTATGGAGGTCAAATTATAGAACAGTACATTCGTTCTGATGTAACTTAGATAATTATTTAATAATATAATACTTCCCAGTGATTTAAATTTAATGTATTTCTCTTTACAAAACTAACTACCTTCAATGAACTATTAATGATATAATTTATGATTATTGAATGACAATTTATTATCTACTATTGTACCCAAAGCAACAATTTCTGTAAAATTATTTGAAATGATTTTTTTCATTAACAGCCAGTTAACTCAGAATGACCTTCATTATAATGAAGTAGAGTATATTTATTTATATTAAGATGTGTAATTATCATTACACCATGGAATTAATCTATTAAGATTTTAATGTGCAATACTGAATCTGTCATATCTGAAATACACAACTTACATTCATCAGCAAAAAGACTGAGGCTGGATGGGAACACTGATGTACACCCATTATTGCAGATATTTATATCTGCTCAATTTACTTTCAATTAAGTAACTCCCAGTCCATTCTAGAAGCATGCAACCAATATTTAATAATTTTAATTTAGACAAAATTTTTCTCAATATACACTCGGTTAAATGATTGGAAACTTCTGGAGTACAATGCCAATCTGTAAGCCATGGTCAAGAGCATTGATCACATCATTTGTATGCTCAAAAGATTTTAAGCTGACTGCAACCTGATTCACAACCATGCTGTTGTTCTATAATATTATTTTGTATTTAAGGCTTTTAATGATCAAGCTGTAAGCTCTCAAAAACTTTAGACATGGTTGATAAAGTACTTACAGGCCTGTAATTATTGACCTAACTTCCATCACTTTTTTAAAAACTGAAGTAATTTACCTAGTTTTCCATGGAGAAGGATATTTTGCAGAACAGTGAAACTTTGTTATAAGTTTTTTTGGTAAGTTCCGGATAAATTCCTATAATTTCCATGCTAATTTATTTCAGTTATGCGTTTGATGTTTTTCAACGTATACCTTCCTAATAAGTCCCTTTTAGATCATATAATGTTCAAATTGTCCCAGTGAGGTGCGGGGCGACCTGTGCTCAGAGCCCAGAACTTGAGTGTAACTAGAGTCGACATCGTCCAGAGCACTCCTGCGGATCGTCCTGTCACTCAGCATCTGAGGCTAATGAAACTTGTAACAGAAGATTGACTTGGTCTAGCTGAGGGGCCAAGTCTGTGTGAGCATGTGGGATGTTAGTGCAAAGTCAGCTCCCTAGCCACGTCTGACAGTGGAATTTTCAAAAAAATTCTGAGTCGGGTGCGTATAGGAACTCTCTGAGGATCTCAGGAGATGATGGCTAGCTCCGAGGGAAGGTCCAAAGGTGCCTCTAGGGGAGAGTAATGACGTAAATGACCCATACGCGAGGTAGTTTAGGCACTAATTGACCCACTCTCCGCAGGCCCTTTTGCTTGCTGTAATAACTAACATAAGAGATCCTTTCGGGAGTGGCATGACACAAGCAGCTAATAACTGATTGCTTTTCCGCATGGTGGGTTTTTTGTCACCGGGCTGTGGCAGTTGTGTGCATCCTGTTGCCTTGTGAAACACCATGCTTTGATCTGCAGAATCTCAAGTAACTTAAAGCTTGAAACCAAAATAACCAGCCACAGTTTGCTGCTGCCAGTTATAGCCCAAGCAGGATACAATCTTTGTTTCGCAGTGAAACTGAGTCACACAAGTTTGTCAGTAAGGTACCCATTGCATATCCGTTCTAATAAAAGTGTGGTAGGAAAGGGCAACCCCTTTCAATATCAGATAAAATAAGAATTTTGAAAGTAGTTAGAGAGAGTGGCCATAAAAATGGAGTAGATATTTCTTAACAACTGGGAAAACAATAGTGCAATAACATAATTTTTTATTTTGCTCGTAATAATCTATTTAGTTAAGCTCTTTTTCTCTCTTATAAATTTTTTCATTCAGTCCCCTGAAAAAGACTACAAGTGAAGTTTTACTCTATCTATATCTGATAAATGATGGAAAGAGGAGCAGCAAAGGCAGAAGTAATCTTTCAAAACCCCCTGGAAGAATGCTGTCAGGTTCCATATTATGTGTTTGTTGTCTTTTTTTCTTCAATATTTTAACAATTTGTTCAAGGCAATAGATTGTTACATTGATATTATAATCACGATCTCTTATCTATATCATTATGAAAACTAGAAGATGGAGGTTTAATTGTTGAACAACATGAACTGAAAATTAACTTTTTTTGTTGTTGTTAGTTTGTTTTTTAACTCCAAAATGATTTCAAATTATAACCTATTGGTTTTTCAATTACTTTCATGTACTTCTTTTAACTCAAACAATTTTCTTGCATTCAGCTCTAAGTTTTGAAAGTATTATTTTATGATTGCATTGTAGTAGATATATATTTAAAATAAGCCCTATAAAATTAAAAAAAAAAGAATAATTTGCTCAATTTTACATCATTATCATTACCATGTATTTTTTATTTTAGAATAAGTTTATTAAATATATTATCAATATTAAAATGAAAGCAGATCATAAGCATCAACCAACATTGACAGGAAATCCTCCAGTCACTATTGTTTAATTCAGCATTAAAAGATTTAGTATTGGATCTACAACAATTGTAAACAGGTTGAGATTCATGTAAACAATCTTTGTTTAATGCAAAATAAATCGTGTGATTGGAAAGAGAAGTAAAACAAATCCAAAAGTTCAGAATTACAATTTACAATATTATTTATTTGATATAAATAATTTAGATTAGAGTAATTTAACAGCATCAATGCTTTATTATGGTTACTAGAATAATATTATTTATCAGTGAAAACAGTAGTACCAATGTTTTTCATTAATCCAACTGACACGGGTAAATTAGACTTGCCCACTATAAAAGAATTAAATTACAATTATAAAATAATTAAAATAGGATGACAGAACTTCATCAAATCATTGCATAAGCCTCAGTAAGGGAATTAGGTGGTAGGTAAAGAAGGCCCAAAAATATTTGAAATTTTTTTAGAGCCAGTTGGATAAAGATATCTTCATACAAATTTAATTTGGGAAATCAAAAACTTCTCATTTATTCCTTAAGTACTTCAAAATTGAAATATTGCACTTAAATAGTTGTAAAAATGTTTTTAAAAAACATTCACCAAAAAGTAGTTTTTTTTTTTGGTTTTTCTGCCTGCTTCAGTGTCAGATTTTAATAGCATACTATTTAGTGTTAAATGCACAGCAATAATCACATCCTCTCCCCTCATCTTCTGCAGTAACTCATTGTCTCTGTCGTGACTATAGATGTACTTAGTGGGTAAATTAAACTCCATCCATGATCCGTCCATATAGCCAAGATTCAGTAAAAAGTATAACAACTAGTCTGTCTGACTCTCATCCCTAAGACATTCCAGTTTGGTTCTCTTACTCCTTACATTTTGATAGTATGTATTTGGATTCTCAACTAGATTTTTGAATCTAAAGTTGGTATCATTTTGTCTCTTAGTCTTGTCAACTAAATTTAATTCAATTCGTTTCTACTTTTTGAGGTTTAGCTAAGCCCTCCTTAGTTTCCTGGAATTTTTCATTTGAAGTTTCATATAAACAGCTTGGAAAATAATAAGTTTCTCTGAATTTATATTTGTTCCGAAGAACCAACACTACTATTTTGTGAATATCATAAATAACTTTCAAATAGTCTAGATTTCTCAGTCTTGGAAAATTTAACATCAGTATCTTGAGCTTCACCTGAATATTTTCAATCTGAATTCTGTTGTGGATTAACTTCATGTGAAGATCAGCACTATCAGACTCAATAATATTGTAAAAAATAAAATTAGTAACCCTGCACTGTCTCTCAATAATCTCAAGGTAAATATCATCAGAATACATATTGCTATCAACATTGTAGTAATTATTTGCCTCCAAGTTATCTAACCTTTTCTGAATATATTTTACAGTTGCCTTGGTATCATCATAAAATGTGCCACCTTGTCCAGATTATGTAACTTCTCATTAGATGATACAGCCTTCAGCGTTTTTGGATCCTTTTTCAACATTCTGTCGCTTTGAGGATAAAAATAAGTTTTCTATTTGACTTGAGTTCGTCTTTCCTGAGTCATTGTAACACCAAGTGAAAAGGGCAGTCACTAGTATAACAATGAAAAATTTAGATTGCGAGTATTCTGACTTACCTGGATATGTTGCACAATAGAAATCAGAAATCAAATCAAATATGTAATGCAATGAAATTCCGAAAAGAAACTTTATGTGAAAAATTCTATTCAATAAGAACAACAAACCAATTAACTCACTTTATCAAATTCGAGCTCAAAAACAACTTGCCAAATTAACGGTCAAACTGTCAAACTTTGTGATGTGTCTGCTCCTGATGGCACACTCGGATGGACATTTGTTTTCTTTTAATTTACAATAAAAAATAAGATTGTTAATTTTCATGTATTCCTTCACTTCCTTGACGTTTTCAACGTTCTGGTAGAATGGCATGTTTTGATCTAGCTGTATACAGCTTGTGATATGTCTTTAGACATTGTTATTAAATCCTTCAACCATTTTTTAAATTAAATTGAAAAATTCATCATTTTTGCTGTTCTGTTACAGATGATCATGATGTTCTGCATTTCCTGACTAGTAGCCTGCATCCACCAGGGCAGGCACCCACAGCAGCACCAGCAGCACCCAGAGTCTCAGAAGAGGAGCAGCGGAAACTGAGTCAAGAATATGCAGACTATCAACGAAAACTTGACATGCAAAAAGAAGAGTAAGTAGGCAAGGGATAAAATTGCTTCCTCACACAGTATTTTTGTTGTGCTAATGTGCAGTAAGCAACACTGATTGATTGTGCTGCTATTGTGTACTACTCGTGCAGTGAACTCCTGGAAATCAGTAGAGGCAATGAGAATTAGATGAGGGACAACTCTAATTAAAAAGTTATTTGATGGAATCATTTCAATTTTTCACAAATAGCGGAGAAATACCTTGTATCATTTATTTGCATGGTTCGGTTTTCGAATTCTTAATATATAGTCACTTTCTGCACATTTAAACTTCACATTCTGTACATCTACAGAATGGAAAACCATTATTTAGTGGTATATATGTAAGCTTGTTTCAACAATCAAAATGTTTCCTTCTGCCTAGTATTTTTGGTTGAAATGAAATTTCAATATAAACACTGGATTCAAACATCAAATAAATATGTGTATATTATATTATACTAATTAATGTAATAATTCAGTGTAATTACTTCACCCTAAAGATAAACTTACACTTTTGGTATTTAGTATTCTCACATTGTGTATGTTGTACATATTCAGGTGTATGTGTATAGATGTATATATTACTGTAAAAAATTTTATAATATCCAGTGCTAAGACAATTTTTATGTCCTTGGCATTCTCTTGATCAGAAAGATGACAAGAGACAGATCAGAGAATGTGCTGGGTGCAATATAATTTTCATTAATAGTTTGAAAAAGTATTTACTGTCCACAAATGCTTTAGATTCTTAATTTGGTTATTTTCTTTGTGGCAGAATTGGTTTTATATAGATGTTTGATTTTCTATTTGTGCTTAGTATTTACCCAAATATAAATAGACTCTGAATATAAGACAGCCTCCTAAATTTGATGAGGCCTCCTGAGAATTTTTTAAATTTTTAATTCTTACTATTTAGTCAAAATGCAAATTGTCTTGTTAATGAGAATGTTAAAGCTTATTGCTGACTTCATATTTTCTTGTTCCTTAAAATCATAATCATGTTTTTTGTCAATACCCTCAACATCTTCTCATGTATCAATGTTTCTTTCTTTTTGGTCCCCCTTCCATCCTGCAGCATTTTACTTTTTAAGCCCCTCTTAAAGTTTTGTGCATTGAATTTGCATTGTTCATAGTCTTTCGGCAGATGCCACCTAAGAACATTCCCTTCTCTCCGGCACTTGTTGATGCAGATTCGCAATCGCATTGAAAGGAGATTCGACATGGCCTTGTCGAACTCGCATCGTTTGACAAAACAATGCTTTAATTTTCAAGTTACGTTTCATTTGATAAATCTCCATTCATTTGAGATCCTCTCTTTATTGGAATATTCAAATATATCAGCCTTAATAGCCTGGCAGCCAGAGGATGCCAAGAAAACAACCACGAATATAATTAAGTATTACAGATACATGCAATAATTTTATTGTCTTTGCGGATTATTGTTACATCGACATTCACAAGTTTTGTGACACGGAATAGCAGTGTAAAAACTTAGGTCCTAACCGAGCAAGATTGCAGATTAAGCTTAGGATCTAAGCTTAATCTGCAAATATAAGGCAACCCACATTTTCAGAATGAAATATTTATAAGAAAAACTTATCATATATTTGGGTAAATACAGTATTTAGACCTTTCCCAAAATTTTCTAAAACTCTACAAAAAATTTAGCGAAAATTGGGCACAAGTAATTTTATTTATTTCAAGAACTTCATTGGTAGAAGTTTGACGTATTCTAATAGCATACTTATGTCTTTTCTAAAATGAGACCTGAATGGAGGTGACTTTGTTAAAATGTTCGGAACAGAAAGATATGAAATGAAAACAGAAGAAATGGAGTTGTTCTTTGATGAAACATGAAGGATTCTAAGTTTAAAAGAATTCTTAAATTTCTTTAATGTGAATTGTCGGCATTGTGACATAAAAACCAAGGCAAAACTTATAAAGCACTTACTTGATTTAAAAATGTTTGTAAAGTCTTTTCAAATATATGCAACTTCTGACTCCTGTCTTTTTCCTTCTTTTTTATTTTATTTTATTTTATTAATTTTTTTCTCTTCAGTAAGTGAATATGAACATGTAAACACTAACTACTCACGATTTAAGGAAGTTACACATGTTCATCTGAAAAAAGTACACTGAAGATAATTTTACTTTCTTACGTACTACTTCCATAGAAAAGATAATGAATTGTAGTGCTCCAGGGTAAAGGGGCCATTTTTCAAGAGCAAAACTTGTATTCTCGATCTTGGATGCCAAATAAGTGCATAATCCTTGCTCCTCTATGTTGTAAAATTACTTCCTCTAGTATGTTCTGTAGTCAGATTCAGTTTTGTAGATCTTACATACCTAAAAATTTGTTTATAGCAAAAAGGTTCATCCATCAATCCATCCGTTCAAAACACTTGCACTTAACCTGTTTCTGGGATTTTCTCCAAAATTGATTTTTCTCTATCAATGTGGCTAAGCTCAAGTCCCTGTGAATTTGAAACAGAGTATTTGGATTTTTGGGGGTACTTTACATTAACCCTCACCAACATTTTCAAAATTGTTCGATTAATTTTTATTTATCATATAGAGGAAATCAAGCTGATAAAAATAATGCAGGTCCGATTTTTGTTGATTATTGTAGTTGTTTTCCAATAACTACAATATTGATGTTGGGTATGTTTTCGTAATGAAATTGATCTTCAAAATTAAATCTTGTAAAAAAACAATCTCAATTTTTTTGTAGATATGAGTTGCACCTATTCAACTTCCTTTTTAAAGCAGTGAGAAGGTGGTTACACTGCCTGAGCCAGTTGGTACAGTCCCTATACCATAGTGAATAAGCCATAGCTTGCTGATGATGAACAAAAAATATTACAGGTTGGAAATGCTTCTGCAGATGCAAGTGGTAAAATAATATTAGATAACTGTTACAAATGATGCAATAAAGAATGTACGGTTGTATCCTGACTAGTTCATCGTAAATGATAAAATGGCTATCCTGAAATTGAATGAACCTTTGAAACATTCCATTAAAAAAATCTCATCACAGTTCATTTCACTAATAGTAATCCCTGATATATTTTTTTATTTCATCAAATGATTGCATTCTGTATGTTTTTCACGACTCCACAGAATCAAGATTTAATCTTGCTTAGGGATATTGATGATGATGAGTCTACTTAGGAATCTACTCTAAATTCTTTCTATATTATCTATGTCAGATTGGTGGTGTCCAGAACAATTTACAGAAGTATACTCTAGTATCGATCTGACAAAGAAGTAATCAAAGGTTCTTAGTCTTCTTAGATACAATTGAAACCTGTAGATTCTAATTGAACCTCTTGTTCATATTGTACCAAGTCCCTGATTATGTGTACATAATTCAAGAGCTTATTGTTTACAATGTATTGATAGCTTGAAAATTACTCTTCTCTGAGAAGCTGATTGAGAAACCTATATCGGTATGATGCTCCATAGCATTAGCCTTGCACCGGTTGTTGAAGCATTTCAAATCAGATTGCAGATGAAAGTATTCTCTAATGTGAGAGATATTGAAAAAATTCTCAAACAAAATATATGGTTATACATATTTAGAGTTCTGAATATCATAATTGTGTACGGTGTTGCACAATGTTAAATTTATTAGATGTTAATACATCTGTTGCTTTCTAGATATCGTCGCGAACATCCAGAAGCGGCTGGTCGACCTCAGGATCCTGATGCTGATCCCGATGTTTGGTTTGAATCTGATAGTCAGCGTGAGTTGCGTCAAATCTTTACTGGCCAAAGCCAGATGTTTGAATCCTTGAGAGAGCTGAGCCGCAAACTCGACGAGGTAGTGGGTCGACAAGAGCGGGCTCTATCACTTCTTGGCCAGTTGGGCACAGGAGGTCCAGCACCCCAACAACTTGGTGAGTACAAGGTTATATATTGAATTCAGAAAAAAAGAAGTTAAAGAACTTCTTGTCAAATGTGAGTTTTTGAAATGTCAAGCATTTTGTTTCTGAGAGTGATATTGGAATGTCAATCTGAGAGATGTTATACATTAATGTAAATATGAAGAGGAAGCGAAAATATTCTGAGACTAGTGTAGAAATTAGCAAGGTGTTTTTCGTTCAGTAAATTTTAATTATACCAAGTGGCATTGTTAAATGTGTAAACAATTATGTAACAGAATTAGAACTGGGATATAAAATATAGACATCCTTTGCAGGAAGATGTGGTTACATGGAACGTGCAAATGAGTTTCCAAAAAAAAATGTAAAGCTGCAAAAAAATTGCTGTTCACGTTTTGACAGGAATGTGTTACAGAGTTTCCTCATGCTAAAAACATTGGTGGGGGGGGGGGATTGTGGATGGTTGTGTATGTGTGTTTTTTTTCTTTTTTCTTCCCCAAAGCTGTCAGTGAACTTCACTAGCACTTAAAGTGTGTGTTATTTTCAACAAAATGAATATTCAATGACCAGTTTGAGGTTACAAGTCTCTAGGACATTGTGCAAAATTTTCTGAGGACCCTACCAGTGGCTATGGCATATCTCTCAGGATCGCAGGCATACTCAAGCAGCAACTGCAACTACTAGTTCAAGCACTCCCGAGGGGGGGTAATTGCTTTTAATGTAAAATATTTCAAAGTATAAAGTTTCCTAGAAATGAAGTGGTAAAAAAAACAAGAAGATTTTAGTTGTGTGGAAGGGCTGCATGGAATTAGGGAATTGCTAACTAATTTACAAATTCTTATTTGGGTCTGAATGATTGTTCAAAACCTTTATTTTGTCTGACTCATTTATCACTGTCATGACTATTGTGGAGAATGATTAAAAAATTAAGAGTCCGGTCGAATCCTGTCATTAAACATGTCTGCAAAGAGCAACCACTTGACTTAGCTGCAAGGAAGAGAGTTGCCAGGAAGTGGAGGGAAACCATTTCGGGTAACCAATGGGTACCGTAACAGAGTATTTTATGGCAAATAATTTATCATTAATACAGAGACTACAGAATAGTTTTGTAGATAATGTCTTTCTGAATTAGAGAAGCATTTTTCATCCTGGTCTTCCTTTTTTTACTTTAAACTTTCCTTTAAACAAGTAAATTTGTAGGTTTCCCAATATTCTCAATATTTATTCACAGGAGGTGCTCCTGGCCAGGTTCAGGTTGGAGATACAATACGGAGGCATGAAGTGGATGCTATACTTAACAATCAAAATACCATTCTTAGCACTGCTCGAGAACTCAGGTAAGTTTACCCCTTTCTTATGTTTTGTTTCATACTGCTTCCATTCTGCGCACAAGTTGTTTGCTATTCAATGGAAGTAAGAATATTATTCACCAGATTTATTTTGTACAGTTTGTAGACCTCTCATGTTTTTTAAGGGTCTAAGAAAATTTTTTGTAAGAAGTGGGAAATTACTTTTGCTTGTATAAAAAAATAAGGAACATGAATTATGTATGTTAATTAATAATATTAACCTTAGATGACAAATAATTTGGCTCATTTGCACTTCAAAATTCCCATTTTTCTCTTCACTTCATTAAAAGAGAAGTATTGAAATCCTGCAGATAATGGTGAATTTTTGGTTGAAAAACTTTTATTGCCAGGACCTGATAATTGAAAAGTGGATAAATTCTGTTCCTATATACAGTAAATTATTTCAAACACATGATGTAGCCAGAAGGAGTTTTGCGAGTCCTTGATACTGAAAAATGTGTTGATTGTAAAACGTCTGTTGCCAATGCTAGTGCCTAAGCCATTCAGCTGATTTTCTGCAAAATTGATATAACCTGATCGATACGAACAAGCAGGGCTTGAGGAGTTTCAAACAGATATTTTGAGTTTTGAGAGTATTTACATGAAGCACCAAAAATCTTTCCAAAATTTTTTTTCTCAAAACTGACTCCAACTTTGTTTTGATTTCACTTTTTTTCAGATTGCATAAAATGCTTACCAGAAGATAATGGTGCAGGTTTTTAAAAAAAATTTATTAGCTTCTTGCTACAACTACAATATTGAAAATTAAAATTTTTTTCGTTAATGAAATCTGGCTATAAAAAACATCTTGAAATAAGGTCATGTTCAATTTTTTGAAAAATGAGTGGTTTTTGTATAAATTTGCATGACAAAGAAGCAATTTTGAATTGTTTTTTAAGTTTTTTTCTCTCTCTTTCTCTCCATAAACTCTATAAATGTACCAAGAGATGGTAAAAGTGGTGCTAGTTCCATTTTCGGCAAATTCTCCATCTTTTCAAAAATTGCAAAAAGTTAACATTTCAAAACTACAAAGTTGAGGACAGACAGTTTTCCCTTAGCCCAAATTTGTTCTAAAAAGTCAGATTTTTAAAAGGTCAAGTACAATTCTTTTGAAAAAATTAGTAAATTTCATTTAATTTGTGTGTGAAATTTGTGCAATTTTATTGTAAAAAATGTCAACCATTCAAAATTTTTTCATTGAATATTCTGTTTTGTAACGGATTGGGAAAAAATTGTGCTAGTCCCGTTTTTGGCTAACTCGTCATATTTTTGAAAATTGGATATATTAGGTTGAGACAATAGCATTTCTAAGGATCGGCCCGAATTCGTACTTTATGGCGATTCTGTAGCATACTGGTACGGCTGAAAGCAAGTTAAGTCAGAGGTCCTGAGTTCAAGTCTCGGTGCAGAAAATAATTTTTGCTGGTTGAAAAAACTTTGTGTGTTTATGTAGGGATGTAATGTAGTGGGGCAGTAATAAATAATGCAAGAAAGTGTGTGTTGTAGTGCCAGTTGTTATTTAACAGGTTAATGGCAAAATAGGCAGTGAATTGTGCATTTATATAGGTGCATAAAGCTAAAAGCGAAACATTCCATAATGTATGCAACCCACAATCCAATAATTTTCCCCTTGTTTTCAAAATAGAATTTGGAGCAATTTTTCCTAGTTCAGGACAATATTGAGACTTTGATTTTTCTGATCACGAATAGTCGAGAGTATTTCCAGAGTTTGGTGGGTACAAACAACTTGCAAGATCTTTTGCCTATTCTTCTTGTGTGTTTTCACTGTCGGGAGGGGAGAAGTGTAAAAGGTAGGAAATTTTAATTTTGAAAGTGTAAAAGTAGGGACAATTTTACCTTGTGAGTTAAGGGGAATTAAAAGACCTGAAAAAATCAGCATAAATGGCATGAAATTGTAAATATCAGGAAGAGAAAAGAGAGTTTTTATGGTGTAGCAAAAAGGAAGTTTTGGGAATTCTGTCATTGAATTTTATCTTCATGATGGTTGCACTTGCTGCCTTCCACGTTTCCATCAAGGAGCAAATGGAGAATGCTATTAGGCATCATTTAGTGTATTGTAGGACTGGGAATAAAATATTATCTAATTTGAACTTTCACAAATTATCAACTTCAAAAATACACTGTTTAAAGGAAATCAATGCCAAAATAATATGTATACATAAAAATAACCACTAATATATCAAAATGAACCAGGTACATTCAGTCTATAGTGATCATAAGAAAATCATTACAATCTATGTGCAGCTCCAGAAAATGATATAAAAGTAATTAAAAGCATATTTATGCAGTTTTGTGACATCACCCTTTTAATCAATCTCCACCAATAAATTCAGAGGAGGAGCAGGAACTGCCCTATTTCAAGATCTAAAGAAAAACCACCAAAAATGTTAATCTAGGTACCAAATATTTAACACTTTTTTCCTTTTCATATAATTTGATAGGGCACCAAATTCCTTTTCAATAAATTACTTTTAACCCATGCCTCACAGACCTGAAATGTCAGTATTAAAAAATAGTGAAGTTATTTTTTTATAATTTTTCTATTATTACAAATCAATGAATATCTTCAAATAGGTGTGTGAATGAAATGAACTGTTAACATAATAAATCATATTTTCGTTTCTCTAGCACTTATTTACAATCTTCTTATGAACGATCCTCCTATGAACGTTCTCTCAACTCAGATTCGTTTTTCAGACTTTTATTCCATGTTTTTTCCATTTTATTCCATAATGTTTAAAAATTTAATTTTCTATTTAAATTTAATCTTTTTCACTTGACACTATTCAGCTATATTTCAAAGAAATTTCATTTCTGTGGTTTTGTTCTCTCATTTCATCTTAAGTTAGTGTCCTGAATTCACTTTCTTATAGCAAAATGACAATAATTTTTAACTATTGTTTGTAAACAATTGAATAGTTAGATGCAATAACAGCATAAGTCTTTTATGCTCTTATTACACGACCAATATATTGAGAATCCTGGGTTCCCCCTCTACTCATCCAACAAACGTCCGTTTCTCTCTGTCATTCGCAGATGTCTCGAGATTCAAAAGACTGCTGCCGGGCTGTGATTGTGGGGATGTAAACCCGTGCGAAACTGTCATAATGGCTGCAGACGGGAGTGATTCCCAATTGCGAATATTTACATATTCTGTCAACATCACAGATTCGCAGGAATTAGATGGAAGTGTGAGTTTGTGAGTTTTTTTTGCTAAAAATAAAGGAACAAAAAGAAAAAGGATAAATGATTCTAATTGCCCTAACACATAGCAGCAGATGTATGGGATCTAGTTGAACATGGCATCAATTCCTCACAGAGAGTCACACTATGGCAGGTAAAATTCAGTCATGAAATATTTTGTAAATCCAGATTTGTCTATTGTTAAACTGTTTAATTCTTTTTGTAAATTTTTATTTATTGAATTTATTTAAAGAAAAAGGGGAAACCCCTTGCCATTGGATACTTGGGAATGAGCCAGTGCCAATGAGATATTCAACCATGTAGATCTGATGTATGTCCTTATTGCACACAATGTTTTGTAGCTCTCAAAGCTGCTCCAAGTTATAATTGCAAGCCAGATTATGTGAATCGTCAAAAACAGGTTGAAGCTTACAACAGTATTAAAAAATAAAATGCTAACCAAAGTGAAAGCTGACAAAAACCTTCTTTTAATTAAATTTGACTGCATAAAATCTTCCAGTCACATCATAAATAACTTAGTAGTGTTTAGGCATGGCTATCAAAATCTTTCAATGTAAACATACAAGGTTTTTTCCAGTTAGGTCAATTCTTTAATGAGTATGTCAGAAAACTTCGACTTCATGGTAGGCATCTTAAACTTTTAGAAAACATTGTAATTCCAGAGGATTACATTAAAATAATGAAAGGTTGGAGGCAGAATATTGAATAATTTCATGTAATTGATGCTTGAAATTTTGGTAAAAGGCTGGGCCTTTGCACTGAAGCCCAACTGCATAAATATGCTTTTTATTACTTTTATATCATTTTTTGGAACTGCATATAGATTGTAATGATTTTGTTATGATCACTATAGACTGAATATATCTGGTTTATTTCGATATATTAGTGGTTATTTTTATGAATACATACTATTTTTGCATTGATTTCCCTTAAACAGCATATGTTTGAAGTTGATAATTTGTGAAAGTTCAAATTAGATAATATGTTAATCCCAGTCCTACAATACACTAAATGATGCCTAATAGCATTCTCCATTTGCTCCTTGATGGAAACATGGAAGGCAGCAAGGGCAACCATCATGAAGATAAAATTCAATGACAGAATTCCTAAAACTTCCCTCCGCCCTCCCCCCCCCTTTTTTTTTTTTTTGTCTCAATCAAGTACACTGGAAAAATGTAGCAAAATCATTTGTTAGTTTGAGGATCTGGTGATGTAGCTGAAAGAAATTTATAGCTGAGCAGAATTCTACTTGTTTTTATCACAGAGTGCACCTTTACGATCAGTCACAAACTTAATATTAATGTTAAGCGGAGGATGGGAGAGATAATCATCAACCGCTGATTGGCTGAGAATTGTGCGAGAGACAGCATTTCAAGTTACCATTGAGAAGATCCAGAAGTCTGTCATCACAATTTTTAAAAGCACCCGTTTTAAAAAGCTCTAGATTTAGTATTCTGAAGTATATAAGAATGAAATATTCCAGGCTTGAAGTGTGGGGTTCCTAAATGTTAATGCTAATGACCAGAAATTCACATATATTGACCAAAAGGCTATGTTTGATAGTTTCAGTGATATAAAATAGGAGCCTATAAGAGAACCAGGAGTTAAAAAATAGAAAAAGGATGATGTGTTATCACTGACAAAATTTCCGAAGCCAGAATATACAAAACAAAATGGTATGTCAAAATTTCACACATCATGAGGAACATACTTGTAAAGTTCAGAATGTAAGTGTCTGAAAAATGGAATCAAATATAACATATTTTTATTCGTTCTTTTCCAATTACACCTGCCTCTTACACATATGCACCCAACTGATTATTCACTGAACATGAATGTTCATTGAATTGATCATGTGTTCATGCAATAACAGCATGTAATGGAAAAATAAAATTGCTGTATATTCTTCAAAACTGTCTTGTGAATCTCTCTCTTCAGGAAAATCATCACAAGACTTGTAAGAGATACTTGCATCACACAACTACATATTTTTCCATTCATTTTGTTTAATAGCAAACAAAAAACTTGCGTCAAGAAGTTTTTGAGAAGCGTTTATATACTTGTGCTGTTATTGCGTGTCTCTCTTTAACTGTTCGTTTTCACTAAAATTCTGTAATGGCAGTATACTGATAGTAGTCCCTTTCATCAAGCGATGTTACAATTGACAGTATTTGTTTTCAAAACAAGCATATTTAAAGATTGTAAGAGCTTACCCATCAGTAGTTAGAAAGCTTCAGTCCTACACTTGAAGCAACTTATTACTATTTTTTGCTGGTTTAATTGAAAAATTTATTTCAGTCACAAGTCTGGACCTTTTTAAGAAATTACACGTTGAGTATGAATGTTTGTTATATGTGGAAGATTATCAGAAGCACTTCCATATTGTAAGGAGTCCAAAAGAAAATATTAATAAAAATGGTAATGATTTATGTATTTTAACAGTGCATACAATTAATACAGCTGTTTGAAAATGTCTGTTGATTTATTTTTATAGTGAAGAATAGATAAAAGTCAAAACTTCTTAGTGTATTTTATTATTTATAACTTAGTATGTCCTGTGGAGTGTAGTTTAATGTTCATTTATTACAAAGTAAAACAATATGCTGGCAAATTGGGTCAAAAGTTAAAAAACAGATGGGTGTGCAATGAAATAAGGAAGTCAAAAAATTACAGACTGCCCTAATCCACCCATTCACTTAATAACTATTTCTGAAATTTTAGTTTTATATATTCACTTTTTTAGCTTGTCAGTGTACCGAAAAATAGGTTTGATTAATTGAAGATTTATCCGATGTTAGAGAAATTCTGTCTGAATGTTATTCTAAAAGTGAAATTTGTGTGGATTTCTGCATAAAACTTCATAAGTAGAAATTTGCAGCTAAAGCAAAACTAATCTCTAAATATTTAATATACATATTTGGATTATGTAATCAAAGAATTTGACGATGAGACCCTGAAATGATTGCAATTGTGTGCCCAAAGGGGAATACAGTGCCAGGTGTCAGGTTGGGATGTACTGTAATTTTTCTGAAGAATGTATTGGACTATCTGTAACGTTCTGCCATCTGTCATTAACCAGCTGTGAGGTCTTGACTCTTAACGCTGAGTTTGCTTCATAGTTGTTTTGTTTGCTCAAGTGTGGGCACATTTGGTCAATATTGATTACGATTTTATTGTGGTTATGGTGTATTAAAAGTTTGCTCCAACTGTCATGTGTTCATTGTTTCCCATATGCCAGTGGAGATACTCAGTGTTAAATTACTTCCCCATGGAACTGGGAGCTACTGTTTCATGAATAACTTCATCCATAAAGTTGGATGAAGGTGTGCTCAGACTCGTGAACCACCAGCTGCTTTTCTAGAATATTTTTATAGCAAAAAAAAGGGGGAGGGAAAAATTGAGGCTTTGTGGAAAAAAAAAAAAAAAAAAAAGAGTGAATTGGTAAAAATAATTGTCTGGAAGTCTTTATTTATGTCATTGTACGAATCATATCAATTGCTGCTTCTCTATTTCAGATGCATTGCCATTTCATGCACAGTTTAAATTGTCCTCTGTTGCGCAACACATTCATTTTATGTTACAACAGTATTCCTTAAAAAACACTACATGTTGCTTAGGATAAACCATTGTTGACAAGCCTAAGCTGTAGCAGTATTACTACTTTACTCGATTCATTCCTTCAATGCTTTTTACAGGACCTTTATTATGGAGGTACATTCTCGTGCTGATGCCATCCTGCAGGCTCAGGGCAAAGGCACTGGGCAGGGAGCTGGGGCTGGGGCTGCCTTTGACTTGCATACTCTAGCAGGGGAGCTGCGGGATGGCTTAAATGCTTTGAAGCGGGATGCTGCTGCCCAGAGAACAGGAGGACCCCCTGCAGGAGGTTGTCCTGATCCCCCATCTTGCGTCCCACCTACTGTCTTCCTGATTTGTGTGGTGGTACAACTCGTAATCATCCTGGGTTACTCAATGTACAGGTAAAAAAGATATTTTCAGTACATTTTTGCTTAGAAAAATATATGATCCTGGTTCTTCTTGAATTGGTGGGTTCCTTGCTATTTGTCAAGCAACAAACATTCAGTGCTCACTGTACGTACTGCGTGTCAGACATTAGAACATATCAAAGGAAGTGAACCTTTGCCAAGCTCACCTGCTGCTGCTTGGGATCAGTACTAGTAGCTCACTATTTGGCAAATGCTGAATGTGTGGATCCGCCTTACGGTGCCAATTACACAATTGGATCTTTTTAATGGGGGATTCTCACAACTCTCATGAAAATTGAGGGGTGGTGTAGGTCAGTGAAAATTGAACTTTCTGGCAAAATTTTTGTGATATTATTATGTTATTAATATCAAATTCTAGATTGATGTTTTATTTATCAAAATAAATGTGGCAGAAGGGGGTGGTTGAAATATATAGACAATGTGTGTGTGTGTGTGTGTGTTTGCCATGAAATACTCATTGTTGCAATTGTTGTAAAAGGTGGAAGGGTTGAAAAAAAGAATACTCTTGCAAATACTTACAAACTGTTTTTATGTAACTTAACTCTATTTGTTGATGAAATGAAAGTGGGTTTTTATTAGGTTAATTTTACTGAGCGTATCTATATTGACACACAAGATAAATAGATTTATTTCTGCCCATCAGGGACAGCAGAGAAGCGCAAGCAAAGAAATTCTACTGAGAGGCCAGCAAGAGACCAGGAAGAGCTGGCTACTGGAGCTTATTGTGCGAGTGTTTGAACTGAACTGGGAGTGTGTGTGGGGTGTCTAGTTGTAGGGGACTGTGTGATAAATTGCGTTGTACTTGCATTCCTCTCCGTTCACAGATCAAGCCACTCATTTGTCCACTTCCAGGGCATTGACTGTGACCAAAGGAGTTATTAATGTGGTGTGTGCAATATGTGAGAACTGGGTTAAAAATAAAGTATGTGTTCTAATCTTATGAATTATTTTATTCTACCTGTGTTGACTTATGCATTACTTTCCACCACTTGTTAAAACAGACACACCAAACAAAATGACTTAAAATAGATTAAATAATGCTTTGGACATTAAACTGAAGAATCGTTTACAACAGAAGTAAGTGGACGGTAGTAATGTAACAAAAAGAAAGCAGAAGATTTTGTTAACAAATGAAAAATAAGCAGCAATGTTCCTTACTGATATGTTTTCATTCCATTGTGTGTTCTAAGTATGTTTATGATTAATATTAATAATTTTTATGAATTCAAGATTAGAATGAAATACATTTAATACGTGACTTTTTTTGTGAATTGTATATGTCTTAAAGAAGTAGAATTTAATGTTTTATTGTATGAAAGATTTTATTAATGTTTTAGTTGTGGGTTAAAATGTATACAAATTTGACAGTCTGTTCTTGTCTTTGAAACAGTGTTTTACTTCAATGTTTTGTGATTCTGATATCTGGGTTCTGTGTGTTGGTGAAAGTGTTTAAAGAAAAATAAATATGTTCTGTGATTGTAAATGAATGTGCCTTGAACTGAAAACAATGCCAGTGAGCCACATCTGTGTAATATTCAATGGTAAATATACATTTCCTGATTGTTGCTATTGCTGGTTCGTACAAACTAGTAGCTAGCTTGGTTTGGTTTTCAAGACTACAAAATTATTGTCCGAGTATAATAAAATAATTAGAATTTATCATTAGGTTTTAAGGTTGGTTAAACAAGTTTGTGTTGGTCCAATTCCTGCAACTCCAGTATGCAAATTGAAATTTATTAATGGTGGCAGCTACAAGCTATTGGACACATCTTACGTTGGTATAAGAAGTTATACAATAATTCAGTTTGGTAGAGTGACAATTTTATAATTTGAATCGCAATTGTAGATCGCAGATTGTACAAGTACATATACATATCCAGGTATACGCACACCACATATCCAGGTATACCACACACATATACATATGTGTATAGAGAGAGAGAGAGAGAGAGATGGATGGATTTAGTTAATCGCTAAATTGTCACAATCCAGGCTATTCTTGAAGGAGTTTTCTTTTGGATGCAGCCGGCTGGAAGGGCATTCCATGCATTTGCAACCCAATTTATAGTAAAGTGAGAATGTTGTTCCGTCCTTGTGATGTTGATGGAAGAAATAACATGTCCTTTAAGCTTAGGTTCTGTGGCTCTTGGAAAAAAACATTCTTAAATTCGGAAATGATATAATATCCAATCAAAATTATAAGTTTCTGTATACCTTGCTTGTTCTGTTCTAATATCAACAGTAATATTTCTCCACAACTTGTTTTGTAATCAAATTGATGTAGTTCCCTAGGGAACTTGATTATCTACCTTTGCACTTTTTCAATGTTTTTTCTTTTTCCTCGTAGGGAGAACGACCTATAGTAGTATACTGGAGTGTATGGACGTTACGTACAAGCATGTATACTGGAGGGATCAGTTATACCGCAGAAGGGCTCAATGTTTCCGATTAGACGTAGTAGTTTCTTGCCTTTTTTTGTAATGGTAACCACTTGGTTATCCCATTTCAAGTTATAAGAACTCTTGATTATTTTGTTGTATTTACTGATATTTATCTGCATCTTCCTTCCTAATCCAAATGTTGTTCCTAGGGATCTTAGTTATCTGCCTTTCTAGTTGTTCAATGTTTTTTTGTGTTTGATAGGGGACCAAACCACATTAACATACTCAAGTATAGGTCTGATGTATGTTGTATAGATCAGTTTCACCACAGATGGGTGCAATGTAGAGAAAGCCTTTCCAATCGGGTGTAGTAGCTTATCGTCTCTTTTGGAAATGACAGCAACTTTTTGTTCTATCGTAAAATTGAGGATGTGATTTCCAACAGTATAGTCATAACTTGGGTTATTTATTCCAAGGTGGAAGACTGTACACTTATTGAAATTTAAGGGAAGCAACCAAGATTTCAACCATCTTACCACTTTATCGAGGTCATTTTGCAGCATCTTGATGATTCTGTAGTGGATTGGAGAATAATTTGGTGTCGTCTGCATAGGAGTTCCAAACGAGAGGTCAACACCAAGGTTGAAGGTTATATATAGGATGAATAATATTAGGCCTAGAACAGAATCTTGAGGGACACTAACAGTTAGGGGTCTTAATAATGTTTTTCCAATCTACCTGGGATGTTCTGCCAGATAAATATCCTATAATACACCTCAACCGTTTCCTTTGTATGCCTAAGGATGAAAGTTTGTAAATAAGGTATATTTGTGGAACTATCAAGCTTTAGTATAATCTAGATAAATTATTTAAATTGGTTGTTTCTGATCCAGTACTTAGGTCCATACATTTAAAGACTGGAATAAATTAGCGGATGTTGATGTTTCAGGGATAAAACTTACGTTGTGCAGGGATATTTCTAAAAGCTGTCAAACAATTATCCTTTCCATAATTTTGCCAATTGTCAGATTTATTGGTCTACATTTTCGTGGTAACTTTTTGTCTACTTTTTGAAAAACAAGAGTAATGACAGCTTTTTCCACTTGGATGGAAACATTGCTGACTTCAGTGATAGAATATTCTGATAAATAGATGGGCTAAAAGTAATTGCAGATATTCAGGTACACTGTTAGGATACCATCAGGACCAGTGGACAAGCTTGCATCTAATACACATTTGGTCAATTTCAATATCTGAAAATTAAATATCTTAAATGATTCTGGTGCATCTCTCTTCAATGTACTGGATCTTCAGATTCAAGAGAATATACTTTGTCAATATTTTTTGAATAACATTCTACAATTCCACCTGGATCAGTTATTACAGAATCTCCATTCAGAACAATCTTAGGGGGCGCAATTTTACAGTTAATCTGTCTACTTATATAAGAGAAAAATATTTTATCACTATCTTGAATAATTTGATGTTCATGTTTTTGTTTGCACTGTCTTACTTTAGAGGTAAGATGTTTGAAATGTTCCTATAGATGATTTAACTGTCATCTGTTCCAGTTCAGTTCTAAATTGCTCATGCTCGAGATTTAGTGTGCTTTGTTTTATGACATGATTAATCCAAAGTTTATTTAAATTTGTTCTCTTACTGGTATGTGGTGAGTGAGTATTTCAAAGATATTTAGATACATTGCAGAAGTTTCAATATCATTGCGTTTATTGACTTCACTAGTATTAGTGTCTGGTAATGCATAATCTTCAGCCAAGTGCCGCTATTGTTCTAGTCTGCTTGAAAGAAATTCTGTTTGGTGATGGAGTTATAAGAAACATATAGTAATAGCCTGTATATAACATCCCATGTAGGACAAGGACTACATTTCTGTAGGGAAGAAACACTATTATTCATAAACAATTCTATTTCTAATGACAAGATAATTACCACATGATCATTACGACCAATGTTTGGGCCTGAAGATCGAGGATGTAATGTCTTTGTTAGTTAGCACTAAACCTAGAATTGCAGGAGTTTGATTTACTCTATTTCTAGTAAGATCTAAGATTTGAGTCCACATAGCGTTTAATAAATTCTTTCAACTTCCGTGAGTGGGATAGCTCCATTTTAAGTCCAAGTGATAGTGGGAAATTTACATATCCAAAAATAATAACTGGTATTTGCACATTGGATGCCATATTAATGTCTTCAGAGAGTTTGAACTCAGATTGCTGTGGCCTGGTGTTGGATGTTGATGACTATTCCTCCTATAACGTGTGTTGCAATGTTCTTCTTCTAACCAGAGTGCTTCCACATCACTTGTTTGTCGCATTCACAGTCGTACCATGGATGAATAGTAGTTGGGAGACGCACCGCATCTCCCCACCCCCTAGGCCCATCTTTTGTGAGAGAGTAGCCCAGTATAACCTGTAGCATCAAACATTGGCCGGAAAGCAGACAATACACAAAAATAAGAACTATTATCACATTCTTCACCAAAATGTACAGTCACTGAAAAATAAACTTGCTTATATCGAAATATTACTTGAGGAGAAACTCAACCACATTTCAGTATTGTGCTTCACGGAATACTGGCTTACTAAAGAACAATTAGATAACACATATATACCAGGTTTCTCTCTAGCCAGTAGCTCATGTCGAAATATTAAAGACGCACATCATGCATATGGTGGGACATGCATTTTTATTAAAGATACAATTCGTTTTGTACCCTACACCAATCACACTCATCTTCCAATCACACTCATCTTGTAAAAGAGAAAGACTTTGAAATATCCATCACTGACTAAACAATGAAAACATGTCTTATGCACATATTGCAGCTCTGCTGGGAATTTTAAGTATTTTTAAAAAATATGGAAGTTATTCTAACAAAACTTCAAAAACGCAGACAGTATAAAATTATTCTTTGTGGTGACTTCAATATAAATTGCCTCACACAATCCAGTAATGAAAATCTATTTTAAAGACCTACTAAAATCATACAATTTACAAACAACCATAAATACACCACACTCGAATATCCAAAAATAGTAGCACTGCTATAGATCAAATAATAATAGATGCAAATAACCATTGTTTTTCTGTTGCTACATTTAATACAGGTTTCAGTGACCACACTGCCCAGATTTTAACAGAAACAAAAACTGGAATAGACAACTTACAAAGAAATCCGTAACTATTCCCAAGGAAAAACAATAAAATTTCAAAACTTACTCAGATTCGAAAACTGGAATGAAGTATATAAGGCAACCGATACAAACGATAAGTTTAACTCATTCATAATTATATGCTTAAGACATTTCAGTGCCATTTTTCCTCAAACACTCAAAAAGATCCAAAATAAGAAAACCAAATCGTGGATTACCACAGGCATCAAAGTGTCATGTGAAAGAAAATGCAACATGTATAAAATACCAACAAATAACAAATGTAACTCAAACTTCATTTCAAATTACAAAACATATAATATGCGATCCTAAAAAAAGTAATCAAACAACCAAAAATTATGACAAATGATAAGTACATTGCAAATGCACGTAATAAAACAAAAGCTATGTTTGGACATTATTAAAAAGACTACAGCACCAACTAATAATAACAAAAAATATGGAGCTCCACTACAAAAACCTAACTGTACAAGACCCACCAGAAATAGCTGATATATTCAATGAGCACTTTTCACATATTAGTGATAAGTTAATCTCTCAACACTAAACAATAAAACACACCAACCAAACACTAATATTACACAAATAGTAAATTCCATATTTTTATATGAAACCACCCCCTCTGAAAGTTTTAAAATCATTGGACAAATGGAGAATAAATCTCAGCAGGCAGGACAACATTCCACGAATTTTCTTATTAAACACTCCTCCATGTATGGGCCAGACCTCTCTCACAATCATGCCCAATTACTCCTCTAAAATCAGCATATTCCCCAGATATATTCAAAACAGCAAAAATTAAACCATTGTTAAAAAAGGCAAAGTTATGATCCAATAACTAGCAGACCCATCTCTGTTATCAGGATCTTTCAAAAAATTCTGAAAGGCTTTTCAATGAACTACAAACAGTTTCTGCAATGCAAATAATGTCCTTACAAATCACAACATGGCTTCACTTCCTTTTTTAAAATGAAGTACTTGTTGCACTAAATCAGAAGGAAATCCATTGGCTTTCTTATGATTGTCAGTAAGCCTTGACATCATTGGCCACCATCACATACTTTAAAAAACAGACAATGCTAGGGATTCGAGCATTGCACGCCAATGGTCAAATCATAGCTTATCAAACTTAGCCAAAAAATAGTGGCCTCCAGCACACTAAAAAAACAAAATCTCCTCAACTACTCCTGCCTCAATTAATAAGTTGGAGTCCCGCAAGGACATACCTTGGCCAATACTAT